TTGCGAGAGAACACGCTTTCCTTAAATATGGGGAAAAAAATTTTTTTTAAATCAGCACTGTTCCAAACAAAACAGCAATAAAACATTATAATCATCCTCATCAGTTAATTCAATCTGGTGTAATTGACTCTTGTTGATCTTTTGTCAAAAGCCATGAAGACATTAGTTTCTCCGTTAGGAGTCTAAATCCTTGCCAAGGCCAGCGGTGTGATCCGAGAGTTCTCAGAAACCTGTTCTAGAGCCCTTGGCGGAGTCCTCCCCGTGAATACTTCTGTAGGGTCAAGCCTGCGAAAGCCCCAGAGTAAAACAGGAACTGCCTGTGAATGACGAAAGACCTCCACGGGCCCGTGGCTCCAGGTCCAATTAGAGTTCATTACAGGGCGATGGACAAGGAGGTATGGCTATTTCTGCAACGGGCAGTGTTTCAAGTTAAAAACTAGAATCGTGACTGGTGACGTTACACCAGGGCCTATCCGAGTTTGGGGAATTTCATACAATTTCTACAACACCGAGGAATGACATTCACCCACAGTCTATCATCTACGAAGCCTTCCCCTCACTCATCTGACAATGCTCCCCGTGTAATTACCAAATAAGCCTAATTAGTGTGATTCCTCGTGTAAGGGAAGAGAACAAATCTTTTGAGATGTTCCGGAGGCCCTCTGGAAAATCCCAAGTAACTTCCAGGTCAAAAGACTTTTTTTTTTTTTTTAAGATTGTATTTATTTAAGAGACAGAGAGTGGGCATAATGCACAGAGGGAGAGAGAGAGAATGAGAATCTCGGGCAGACTCCGTGCTGAGCATGGACCCCACCCTGGGCTTGACCTCACGACCCCAAGATCATGACCTGAGCCGAACCCAAGAGTCAGACCCTTAAGTGATGGAGCCACCCAGGGGCCCCCAGGTCAAAAGACTTTATTTCAAATTTAATTTTTTGGAAAGTTGGTCAAAACATTGGGAGGTTTTTAAACACTTGGTCAAACAGGATCATAGGTCATTGAAACAACTTCGTTATCCATTTAATCATGGTGACATTTAAAGACCTTGCAGGTGAACACAGAAAGTTAAATAGTTGTAAGTAAAACTTAGCTCTTTTAATAAAGAAGATTCAATTTTGTTTTTAAGTAATCAAAGATCGAGGGGCTCCACTGCCTTCAGGTCCTGGGATGGAGGCCGGCTTCAGGCTCCCTGCTCATCAGGGAGCCTGCTCCTCCTCTCCCTCTACCCCTTCCCTACCATGAGCGCATGCACGTGCATGTGTGCACACTCTGTCTCTCTCTCAAATAAATAAATAAAATTTTTAAATAAAAAAGAAGATCTGATAAAAGCAACACAAGAAATTATTTTGATAAAACACAAATTCTTCACTTTCTAGACAGACTACTTTAAAACTGAGGAAGTCTTCTATAATCTCTTAACAGGAGCAGACCAATAGTCCAAGCAAATTTTTCCCTCGAGCAGACGAAAGAAAATTAGGTTCCAGTTCTACATTAGTACACCATGGCTATTAAAGCTTATTTTTAAAACCCTTACGACAAATTCATTCAATTTCATCCTGCTTGATCACACGCAAAATTCCTTCGCGAGCATTCCTTTTTCACAACCTTCCCCAACTTTCTATTTTGGCTCAATTCCTCTCCCATTCAGAAATAACCAGTTTTACTTTAGGACAAAATTATTTTCTTTCCTTCCACAAAAATGCATCCCCATGCCTCATAAAAGTCATCAAAGAGATTCGAGAAACTAAGGAGACGCACCATAAAACGGTCATCGCTGGAACATTCACTGGAAAACTCTTACATTCTCCTCTTTGGTTCATTTGTTCTTCACGATCGTACCTCGATCGCCCACAGTGATTTCATGAGATGTTAAACCGTGAGCCATCGTCTTAAGTTATTTCTCTTGGCGACAAATTTTATAACAGAGACAATATGAGCTTATTTGACTTTCAGTAAATCTAGATAAAAGTATGATTCTTAATGCCAACAACTCTAAAGACACATCTGCATTAATTGAACCAACAAACTGTTTTTTTTTTAAGATTTTATTTATTTATTCATGAGAGACCCAGAGAGAGAGGCAGAGACACAGGCAGAGGGAGAAGCAGGCTCCATGCAGGGAGCCCCACGCCAGGGCTCCAGGATCACACCCCAAGCTGCAGGCGGCACTAAACCGCTGCGCCACTGCCACCGGGGTTTGGATTTTTAAAAGTTTGGATTTTTAAAAGGCCTCTTTCTCTCTCTCTCTTCTTTTTTCTCCCATCTGGACAGAGTTTTAATGACCTCCTGGGGTGTTTACATTCCAAAGACCCGGTAAGATTTGCATCTTCAAGGGACAGAAAGAGCATCCAAGTTTTCCCTGGGACTTTTGCATCTATTTCTCTATTATCAGATTTTCAGGGTAATTCCTATTTAAAATGTTTTTACCTTTTTCTTTTCTTTTAAAGATTTTATTTATTTGACAGAGAGTGGGCGTGCAGGAGCACAAGCAGGGGAAGGGCAGGCAGAGGGAGAGGGAGACGCAGGCTCGATCCCAGGACCCTGAGATCATGACCGGAGCCGAAGGCAGACGCTTAACCGCTTAACCGACTGGGCTGCCCGGGTGTCCCCTTACCTTTTTCTAAAGTGCGGGACAACGACTTCCAATGTCCTGAGTTCTGATAATATGTGCAAATGTCCGGAGGCAAATAGGAAAGGCTCTGAATGGATTTCGAGTTGCTCTTCAGAGTTTTGCCTTTGTTTTTCTGAAGAGTCAAGCTGTAAATTAAGAAATGTTGGGGTGATGGAAAGGGAGGACGGCGAGGGGTGGGGGTGAATGGGTGACGGGCACTGAGGGGGGCGCTTGACGGCATGAGCACTGGGTGTTATTCTGTATGTTGGTAAATTGAACACCAATAAAAAATAAATTTATTATTAAAAAAAAGAAGAAAAAAAGAAATGTTGGGGCAGCCCGGGGGGGGGGGGGGGGCTCAGCGATTTAGCGCCGCCTTCAGTCCAGGGCGTGATCCTGGAGACCTGGGATCGAGTCCCATGTCGGGCTCCCTGCATGGAGCCTGCTTCTGCCTCTGCCTCTCTCTGTCTTTCATGAATAAATAAATAAAATCTTTAAAAAAAAATGTTGATCTTCACTCTTTTTTTTTTTTTTTTGGTCTTCATTCCTGCAAGACGTCTTCAAAGAACTGGGTACCTTTTCCATCATTAGGCTTAGGCATAGATGTGTCCTCTGAGCCACACTATTTTGAATTGACCTTTTTATATGAGGGACAAAATTTCCAACTAAGATGGAAACCGACAGATTTCTGTGTCTTGCTGTCCAGCGGACGTGAATTCTTTGGCGGGGGGGCGGGGGGCGGTTTAGAATATACCCACGAAGGACCCTGCCTAGGAAGGCCTGAATCTGGCAAAGCCTGATTATAAAGTCCAGCAAAACAAGCCTTATTGTCCATCCCGGATGCTTCTGTTAAATTTATTTCCTGGGTTTTAGCATTTGCATGAGTATATCCTGGGCCTAGAGATTAGGCTGGGTTGTTCTCTGTAAATCTTGTAGGAAAAAGGAAGCTGAAATAAGCAGCTGATATTTAAGGGATTTTCTGGGGAACGTGGAGGAGTCTGGAGGCTAGAGGAATATGCTGAGAAAACAGGACCGAATTCTAAGACGGGGAAGTTATGTCGGATGGGGACTTCAATTTTCATTCTCATTTCTGTTCTTTCATCTTGTTGAAAGGGAGTCCCTAAGGCTAGTTGTTAGATTTCTTTGTGTCTAATTTTTAATTTGGTCTTTCCAAAGGTACCAATAAGATGATTGTTTAGGATGAGAGCTCTCTAAAAAAAAAAAAAAAAAATTATTTCAAATACAGCCAATTCAGAGGACCCATTGATCCTCTGGCCATTGATGAATAAGGGTCTTATATTCATCTCAGTAACAACTCAAACCACTGAGAGGTGTCCCACAAGATGGTGCAGAAGACGCGGCCCTCCCAAGATCCAGGAAGTTCATCCTAGAGCTCGCCCAAAAGAGGAAAGGCAGCGACTGTGAGGGGCTCGGTGTTTATTTTTATTTTTTTCTCTTTGTAAGTAACTTTTATTTTTATCAACAACAGGATGGGTGGTTTTGTTCCTCTATCTTTAGGGACAGTTAGCAGCAGCAGCCAGATGGAAAGTCCCAAGTGAAGTCCAATGCATTCGGCCCCCGAGACAGCTCTGGAAGCTCGTTGGCTCGGTCCAGTCCTGCTTCCGCCGCCGGCATCAGCACCTCTTCGTCCTCCGGGTCCCACGACAGCACAGCTCCGGGCACCTGGAGAAGGAGAGAGTGACCCCACCCCACCCTCCTGAGCTCTAAGCCCCAGCTCTGTAGGGCCCTGCCTTCCCTGGTGGGAGAGCGGCTCTGTTTTGTGTTTTATTTTATTTTTTTAAGATTTTATTTATTTATTCGTGAGAGACACAGAGAGAGGCAGAGACACAGGCAGAGGGAGAAGCAGGCTCCACGCAGGGAGCCCGGTGCAGGACTCGATCCCAGGACCCCGGGGTCATGCCCTGAGCAGAAGGCAGACGCTCAACCGCTGAGCCCCCCGGGGGCTCCACTTTTATGACTTTTTTGACAAGGAAACAATCCATCTGTGAAGAGTTGACAAAAGGGCTTGGGGCTTGGGGTAGCAGTTGGAGAGGGAGTCAGCAGGTTTGTTTCTAGGGCCTTCTCAGGCCAGAATCCCGGTCCCTGGGGATACGATGTCCGATGTCCGTCTGTCTCCTGCTGCAGGGAGGGCACCTGTCACATGGGAGACTGTTTCCTGCTTTCCCGGGGACCGGGAGGAGCACAGTGTCCTCCTTAGACCAGCTGTTCCTTAAATAACTTTAATTCGAAATGATCAATAGGCCACAGGGGCGTTATTTGGGGGCGGGCTGCCCTGGATTCCTCAGTAAGGGGTGAGCTCAGAGCTCCTGCTGGGTGCCCCCCCGCCCCCGCCTCCCTGCACCCCCTCCCTGCCCCGCCCCCTCCTACCTGCTGCTCCATCCTGCTCTCTCCCTTCCCTCCTCCTCCCTGCGGAGGCCGCCGCACCCAGGACCCGCCGTCTGGGAAGGAGGCTTCGCGAGGCCCTCACCCACTGCCCAGGGCAGGTCGCCTCCGCCTCGGCTGCCCCAGGGCCCCCCTCCCACCGGGAGCCCCGACACCCAAGGCCAAGCACCCAGAGCACCGTCCCGGAGCCGCGGCCCCTCTGCGCCCCGCTTGCCGCCCCCCGGCTCGACTGTGCCAACCGACCACCGCCCCTCGCACCTCAAGAGTCCCAAGTGCTACATTCTACGTACGACATGGGGGCGGGGGGGCATCCGCCTCCACACCTCCTGCCTGGACACAGGGGGTTTAGGGAGGCGCCCCCTCGCCCGGAGGCCCCCGGGCCGACCTGCGCAGCCCAGGCTCTGGGCCAAGGGGACGATGCAGTCCTGGAGGACCGACAGGATTGAGCCACCGGGACGCCTCCCAGCCACTGGGCAGCCCAGCCCCCAGGTCTCACCGTGGCCCGTCACCAGCTCCCCCAGGCAGGGCCAGGGCCAGGCAGGTCCCCTCCAGAGAGCATAAGCCCCAGAGCTCCCTGAGGCTCCCCGCCCAGCACAGAGCTCTGCTGCCATGTGGCTGCTTCCCCGGGGACCCCGGAGACCCCGCTGCCCCTGGGGGACCCCCCGCACACACCCCAGGCTGTCCCCAGACGGAAGAGGGTAGCAGAGGGAGAGCGGCTGAGGGCCAGGGGCCCGGTCGGCTACTGAGGCCCCTTAGGACGTGGGGGCGCCCTGTGGACAGGACCCTCTGGCCTGGGGAGAGGGGAGCGGGGGTGGGAGCAGATGAGCGCGGCCTGAACCTGGGCTGCTGGATCTGGGGTTTTCTCCGCCTACACAGGCTGAGCAGCCGCAGCCCGGCGGGGGTGGGGGGCGGCAGGCAGCAGGGTCCTGGCAGGTGGGCTGTGTCCTTGGGGAGCTGGGAACCCACGATCGTCACTGTGGCAACCGCACTGTCTGCTGGAGAGAAGGGCCCTGGCTGAGGCCCTGTTGCCTGTCGCCTGTCGCTGCCCCATCCCCGGAGGTGGAGGTGGAGGAAGGAGGGGGATGGAGGGGGCCCGCGGGTCATCACCCTGTCCAGGCCACGGGGACACGCGCACACCGGGGACGAGGGCGTGGCCGTCTCCTGTGAGACCTCGCAGCTCGGGGATGCAGTAAACCCTGCGCGGAGCGGCTGCAAGGATTCCGTTGGCTTGTTTATGCCAAGCTCGGGGACGCTGACCTTACCTGCTGACCTCACCTGCCGTGGGCGGGACACCGAGGTCCGGCTGCTGGGGGGGCGCGGGCGCTGCAGAGTGCGAGTCACGGGGGTGTGGTGTGGGTGGTTTGGGGGGATGCGTGTGTCGCGAGGCGGGGGTTTACGGTCGTGGACAGGACGAGGACGCTCTGCCCCGGGATTGCTTCCGACCAAGGCAGAGCAGCCGGCAGGACCCAGTCGGGTGCAGCCAGGCCGGGGCCAGGTGACTCCTGAGCTGCCCGCCCTCGTCCTCATCCTCGGGAGCCCCTTTCAGCCAAACTGGCCATAACGGCCAACCCTGCGGCGGGGCCACCCCAGGGCACCCGAGGTGACCAGAACCCCAGGGGCGGCCTCAGCCTGGAGAAGGGGCCGGGGAGGGAGCAGCCCCTCCAGCCGTCCGGACCCCCTGAGTGGGTCGGGCCACGCCGGGGCCCCCCAGCACCAGAGCACTCCCCAGAGGCGGGAGCACAGTGTGACCTGCTGGCTGAAAGGACCAGAAGCTCCGGGGGTGATGCTGTCAAAGGCCCGGCAGAGGGGGCAGGGCTGAGCCGAGGCACAGGCTCCATCCGGCAGGACAGGGGACAAAGAGGGAGCTCCCCCAGCGCAGGGCCATGTGGGGTGAGCTGGGCCTGAGCTGGGCCAGAAATGACACACCTGCCCGAGAAGGGCTGTGGGGTTGGGACACTCACCCCGGGAACTGTTTCCTCCCTCCTGCCTCCCCGAGCAAAGTGGACACTCGCGGAGCTGCGGAGAGGCCACGTCCTGCCCGCCCCCTCCCGGGCTCCCTCACGACCTGGGGCCTCGAGCACCTGCCACACCGATGTCCGGCTGTGCGCTGAGCACGCCAGGCTTGGGGACCCCGCCCCCCCACCAGCTCCTGCTCCTCCTCCGGGTTTCAGCTGAAACACCACCTGGAGACAGAAGCTTTCCAGGACCCGGAGACGCCCCAGCTGGGGTGGCTGCGCCCCTGTGCTCCTGGGGACCTGCCCGCTCCCCTCTCCTCGAATGCAGAACTCATCTGATAACGGCCTGCGGGCTCCTGGACCAAAGGAGCCGGGAGCGTGGAGGCCCCATAAGTGTCGGCTCGGTGGGTGGAGGGGTCTCGGGTGGCCGGATGGGTGGGCGATGAATCTGGGCAATGAGCTTCGCACTGAGGGAAATCTGCTTTTCCACTGGTGCTGATGGCATCCCCCCAGCACCCGGACGACGCCCTAGAGGACGACACCAGAATATGACGTGTATCCTCCTCCCCCGGCCCCTCCGGAGGCAGAGGGAGGACTGACACTTGGGGGCTGGGACTTTGCAAGTCGCAACCCAGCGCCTTGAGCTGCAAGAAGGAGCGACCAGAGCAGGAAAGGGAACCATGCGATGCAGCCTAAACCAGCCGGTCGGCCCAGGCAGGGCCCAACGGCAACAGGTTCTGGAAGCCAGCTGCCCCCTGCCCACCACGGTTCACGGGCCCGGCCCGCCGAGCTCAGCAGAACTGACATCAGCAACAGGAAGGGCAGATGCGCCATCAGAGACGGCGGGTCAGAGGCGCGGAACGAGAGGAGGGAGGAGGCCGGCGTGTCCTGCATCCGCACACGAGGGCAGAGCGGCCCCCAGCCCGGGGCGCCCCTGCTTTCTCCACGGGGTTGGAGAGTCACATGGGACCCACCTGCCGACTGTGTGCAAAGAGCATTCCTCCTCTGCCGCCCAGGGGAGGGAGCACCGAGTCTGACCTTGAGCATCCTAGTTGCTTAGGAGCGAGGCGGGCCCTGCTGCGGGCGGGGAGTGCACGCCACCACCCCCCCCCCCGCCCCGTCCAGAATGGGACACCTCCCAGGGCACACTCTGCGGGTCCACACTTAGCTGTGCTCCCTGGGGGATTCTCAGAGCAGGTGCCCATAGTCCAAGTTGGCTGCTTGCACCCCACCCATCACAGCTGCATTCTGGCAGCAGGAAGTAGGAAGAGAGAAAAGCGACCAAAGGGACGGCTCCTCTCCTGTAAAGAGACGCCCTGGAAGTCCAGCCTATCACGTACGCTCCCCGCCGACTGGCCAGGACCTAGTCACAGGGACGTACCCATCTCTGGGGACTCCCTCCAGAGCCTTGGGGGAACTGAGGACATGGAATATCTGAATTTGTAAGTGTGGGAGCAGATCCGGGGCCCCAGCGAGCCCCTCCTGTGCCCCAATCACCCCGCCAGTAAGTGAAATAGTCGAGATGAGAGCCGCTCCGCCCGCCGTCGTAGCTCACGCTCTTCGCCGACACACGGTTTCCCTGAGTCCCAGCCCAGCTTCGCCCCCCAACGCCATGTGGCCCTAGTCCCCGGGCCCCGATTTCTGTGCCTCTACGACAGGAGTCGTATCAATGGCCTCCCACGGAGGCTCGTGGAGCAGGACAGGTAAGGCCTATGAGCGAAGGCCAAGGTGACGGACGTATCAGACCAAGCAGCCGGGGATCTGAATCTGCTTAGTCTTGAGTTGAAGTCACAAGAAAGGGCCTGGGTCCTGCTGCCACGTAGGTGCTGTCACAGACCCTGCTGACGGCAGAGTCTTCCTACGGGGCGGGGGCAGCGAGCCCCCTGCAAAGTCTGCTCCGCGGCACAGCGGCGGGAGCAGTCGCCTGAGTCCTCATCCCCAAGAACGGAGGCAGGGTCTCGTGGTTCCCTCCTCCGAGAGTCTGAGGGTGCCTCCTCCTCCCCATCGCATCCCCGGGGTCTGGCCCAAAGCCCCCCCCCACCCCGCCCCGCACCCCAAGACCGTTGGCCGGTTCAGACAAGAGCAGCCCGCAGAATGAGGCTGCCGTTGCCATGGAAACCAAGGCCAGAGCCAGCCCCCTGCAATTCCCGGGCACACTGCTCCTGAGCTGCCTCGGGTGCCAAGTCCCCGGACAGTCCTCCCAGCCAGCGCGCGCGGCCGCACACGCACTCGCCACCCGGCCTGTCCCAGAGGCCCGAGACTCTCCAGCCGGTGACACCAGCTCTCCGGCCAGAGAAGCCAGGCCCGGTGGCAAAGGACAGCAAAGGGCGAGGCTGATGAAGAGGAGCTGAGATGGGCCACAAGGGCGACCCTCAGCCGTCATACCCGTGGGGCCACCCGCTCGGGCCGGTGCACACTGGGGCCTCACACCAGGGCTGACGGGCTTCGGGATTCCAGTGTCACCTCTGCTCCCGGCCAGGACCGTCGGCGGCCGCGGTGGCGTATTCAGTCCTGCGGCATCTCCGCAGACGACGCGCCCATCACGAAGGGGAAAGACACGTCTGCAATGGAGAAATCTGGTGACCCAACGGAAGGTCCCTCAAAAAAGGACAAGCTAACAAGCGTGCCTTTCCGGGTGCTGCACCAGCGGGTTCAGGGCACGCGTCCCGCCGTCTGCTCGCGGAATCCGGTCCGTGGAGGAGACCAGCGGGCATGGTCACACCGCGGGGCGCTTTACAGGACATGGGCCACGGGCTCTTCAAAACGCCAGTTACAAGAAACACCAAAAGACCAGATGGAAGGGGACCCGAGGGACGCGGCCACGGAACGCCGTGCACGATCCTTAGAGGGGGACTCGGCGACAGCAGGCGTTCTCGGGACAGTCGGGGGTCTGAACGCGAGCGCTTCATCAGCTAACGTTATTGGGCCGGGGCTAAAGTCCTGGGCCGTGGTGACCTGGTCACGGCGGGAACGGCCCGAGGGCCTCGTCCGCAGATGCCGATGAGCGCGGGGCCAGGAGCCGACGCGGCCGTAACCTACTTTCGCACGATCGGGAGAAGACAGAGAGAGCACGTAAAAGCCGCCAATGTCAAGAATCGGTGAGTCCGGGCGAAGGGCCCACACAGGGTGGATTGCCGGCCCTTTCAACTTTTCTGTCGGTTTGAAAATTTCAAAATCTAGAAGTAAACACTCAGGGGGGAACAGACTCTTCTGGAAGGAGTCAAATGACTCCATATCCCCCCCAATTTTTCTGGGCGCTTCTGTGCCGAGGGATGGGGGGCCTCTTCCATCTTGTCCCGGTCACTCGGGCTCTGAGCTCTGGCTTCGCCCAGATTAGCTGTTCGTGGACGGTCTTGCGATCCCCCGCGGCTCTCCCCGGCCTGCGCCAGGTCCCCTGCCTGGACTCCCCCCTCCCAGGGAGCTTGACGGTGAGCGGCCACCGAACCGAAGGTCTGGGCTAGAGGACGCGGCCAGGGCAGGAGAGCTAGGACGCCGCCGCCTTTTCTTAAACCGATGAGCTGCTCGCCACTCCCTCCCCTGCAGCCCCCAGCAGGCCGCTTGCCTGTCCTCTCCACTCCCTCCCTCTCTCCTCCTGGCTTTTTCCTCTTCGCCTTATTCCCCTCTTCTGTCCTGGGCCTTCGCTACCCGTGATCGCTTCGAAGGACTCCTGCGGGCCTGAGAGCCAGGGGCCAGCCCAAGCTGGGTGAACAGCGGAGGCTCCCCCATAGCCCTCCCCCCAAATCCGGGGAAGCCAAGTTAATCTTCCATACCCTCAACTCAACCCTTTAAGAAAACCCAAGGGCTGCCCAGGGGGCTCAGTCGGTTGAGAACCCGATTCTTGATTTCAACTCAGGTCATGATCTCAAGGCCGTGGGATCGAGCCCTCACTGTACTCGGCGGGGAGTCCGCTTGAGACTCTCTCTCCTCCTGCCCCTCCACCCCCTCCCCACGCGCTCACACAAGCACGTGCTCTCGCTTTCTCATCAATCAATCAATCAATCAATCTAAAAAAAAATAACAGCTGCCCGTCTTTGGGCACAGACCACCTGCCAGCCACTGAGCCGGGCATTCTGGAGACATCACCCCTAACATCCCCCACAGCCCCACGTGGGGGGCGAGGAGGGCACTAAGGAATCTGAGACTCAGGATGGTGGAAGAACCAGCCACCAAATGGACAGATGCTTCCGCCTCCGGGCCTCTTCGGATGCTTTCCAACTTGGTCAGTGCGTATCCCATAGGCCCAGGGTGCACGGCCCGCCAGAGGTCACGTGACTGCTCAGATAAACCGAGGCACGTCTGGGACGCAGGGGGCTTTCCCCCCGGCTTATGTCCTCACCTGCTGGTCCCAAGTAGGCACCATCCCTCCTGCAGAAGGACAAGGCGTGCTCCTGCCGGGGATAGCTGGGGAGAAGCTCAGGCCTCAGAGAGGCTGGACAGGCCCGAGTCTGGGGAGCCCGGGGCGGAGACGAGCAAGTGGCCAGGCATCCACTCCAGCGCTCAGCTGCTGCAAGAAGCGCCCTTGGGTCCCAGGCCTTGGGTAGAGCGAGCGGATGGAGCTGGTGGGGATGGACAGACTTAAAGAAAGAAGGTCCGGGATGTGGGTCGGCTCAAGGCCCCCCGTCCAGAATGTGGATCCCAGGCATCGGGGGGTCACGGGGGTGTCTCCCTCAAGTGGCAACGGCCGCTCCTCCCCACCCCCCTTCACCCCCTGACTCCCCGGCCATCTCCAGAGATTCGGCTCCTCTGCTCCAGCCCGGCTCCAAGCAAGCCAGGGGCCCCAGGGGAAATAAATGTGAAAAGAGACTGGAAATTTAATCAAAAGTGGCGACAATGAAGTGTGGCTGCAAACCAGGAGGCAACGGAGTTGCAGGCGGTTGTGAACAGCAGCAGAGGCGGAGTCTGGGAGGCCTGGGGGCGGTGGTGGGGGGGAGGCCATCTCAGACCCGTGGCCCCCAGGGGAGGAGGCGCTCCTGGGTCCCTGGGGAGGGGTTAGCTCTAGACCAGAATTTCTTCTGGGGCGGGGGGTGGGAGGGGTGCAGGGAGAGCCTCGTGCCCTCTCCTACCCTAATCTCCGGAGGAAGGCGCTGTCGCGTCCACTTTGCAGGTAAGAACACTGAGCTCCCGGGGGCTGCATTACCTGCCAAAGGCGCAGTGAAAGGCAGCTATTCGGAACTTACCAGAAGGGCTTCCCTTCAAGCGCTTGGCCCTAAGACAAGGTCAGTGAAGTGGGAGACAGAGGACCTTCCTGAGTTCCTGAGGCCCACATCCGGCGTGAGCGAGTGTGAGACCCGGAGGCAGGGAGGTAAGGATGGGGAGGCAGGGGGAGGCAGGAGGCCAGGACCTCACCCGCGAGTCCACTTCTAGGCCAGCTCACCGGCCCCACGACCTGGACTTCACGCAGGACCAGAGCAGCCACGAGGGGACACACGGCGGAAGCGTCCGCAAGGCGAGCACAGGAGGCCGCGTCCTCCCCGAGGGGGCCGCAGAGGCGCGGGGCCCCCTGTGACCACCGCACCTGGGGTCGGCTCCGCAGTGTGTCATCGTGGGCAGCCACTCAGCCTCCCTGGGCCTCAGTTTCCCCCTGTGTAAGATGGAGACATGAGAGTGCCCTCGTCACAGGGTCCCCGCGCCCTCACCGAGGGCCCCAGGAGCCGAGAACCGCAGCCTGCGGGAACCCGCTCCTTCTACTTCCCTCCTCGAGCACATCCTAGGCCCCCCGCGAGCTGCGAGCAGCCCCCGCAAAGGGGCCCCGGGCCCACCTTCCGAGCTTCCCCAAACCTGTGTGCTCCTCAGCGGTCAGCCTCAGGCGTCCCCCCGCCCCTTCGTGCTGCGCCTTGGACTTTGCCTCCCCCCTCCCACTTCCGTGCTCACTCCCGGATCCGTGGAAGGAGGGGGAGCGCCGCCGGCCTCGGGGCGCTGGCTCGGCTTAGCCCCGCTGCCTTCCCTCCCGCTAGCCCGTGGGCGCGGGAACAAAAACGGGCGTGCGGCGCCCCGGCCTCACCGTCTGTGGCGTCTGAGGCCGGCCTCCCCAGGAAACAAACCCGGGTCACAGCTGCATGACTGGCGTCGGGAGGCTCGTCGGGGAGGCCTGGACCAGCTCTGGGAGGGAGGCAAGCAGCTGAGGCGCGGGGACGTGTCGACAACGACGCGCTACAGCACAGCCGGTCCCCCAGGGAGCTCCAGGGCTGCGTGGCCCTTCGAAGCCGCCCGGATCAAAGCAGAGGGGGCAAACACTTGCACCCCTGCTTTGACCAGCCAGTGAATCCGGGCCCCCCGGTAGACGGCAATGCCAGTTCCCGGCAGCCCCGTGCTGGTGCGGGGTCCTCGGTGGGAGGTCTGTGGGCTCACGCGGCATCCACTGCAGCCCACCCCTCCTCGTTCTGCTGGGACCCACCTGCTCACCCACCCACGACAGGTTTTCCAGAATCCCGGTTGATCTCCTTCCCTATAAAAACATAAAAGAAGACGGCTAGTGGGTTGAAGTATGACGTGGCTGCCCGGACAGCCAGGCCTGGGGCTGTCGCTGGCACCCATCATGCCCCCATCCCACCCCACTTTAGATGCCCTCCAAGCAGCTGGCCCCCCTGCTGGCCTAGATAGTTTGCCTCGTGGCCTGGCCCAGATCCATCTCGAACCCATCCGGGGCCCTGGTCACCATGCCCTTGGCCTTTTACTGCTGAAAACGGAGAAGGGCACACCAAGAGACAATCTAATGGATCCCTCAAGTAACAAAATGGATCTTCTCTCTGCCGCCGTCGTGTAAGGGCAGCCCCACCCTCTCCCGCCCGTTGACGAGGATCAGCCTCTCCGGCCGGGTGGGTGGCTCCTTCCCTTGCCTGCTGGCCTCCGTACGGGGACTCTGAAATGACCAACTGGTGGAAATAGCTCAAGTTTAACGGAACCCTTACTCCGTACCCTGCTGAAAGCACGGCCCATCTGGGAACCAGAACACCCCCCCCCCACACGCAGCGCTTTGCTAAGGGAGTCCCTGGGAGCGACGGGTAAGCAAGGCCGCTCCTTCCTGCACCCCTCGGGTTCCCAGACTCCCCCACGCTGCCTACTGGGCACATGGCACCCGACGGTGCCGGGAATTGGGGCTGTCTTGTGTTCTGGAGGATCGCTCTCCGTCCTCAGAGGGCGTCACGTGTAAGCCGCCTCTATCCGGCTGATGGGGGGCTCCGGCTCTACCGAGCCCCAGAAGCACATGAAAGCTATTTTTCAAGCAGCGTATAGTTTTCCACTGCAGATGGCACAGCCTTGGTGCAGAGCTCTAGGGATCTCTGTTGTCGTTCTGCTATCGGGGCTTGCCATAAACTCCGCATTGTGTCTCTTCCCACCACAGACACGTCTGTTATCAGTCTGCTGGGTCACGTGCTCGCAAGGCAGCCCCGAGCTGCTGCAAACCCTCCCCTGCCGTGGGCCCCTCCCACAGCTGGCGAAGGGGGCTGCAGCAGTATGTGTCGGGTGTGGAATGTGCTGCTTAAAGAACCTAAAGACGCGCATCAGATGCTGTGTTCCCTTCTGAGCGTGGGAGAGGCAAGATGCAATAATTTCTCCTTTCCTTTGGAGGCTACGTCCTGGCTGTATCCCCAAAAACTTCACTGATATACCATCCCCACCTTCTGAAGCATGTCTGTCTCCCTGGGCCTCCAAAGTACTTGTCACGGCTTGCTCACCCAGACCCATCTCCATGATGTAGCTGATAGAACAGGCAGAGTTGTGCTCCACGGGATGATGGGGTGCTCCACGGAGTGATGGGGTGCTCCCTGGGATGATGATGGGGTGCTCCCTGGGATGATGATGGGGTGCTCCCTGGGATGATGGGGGGCCCCACAGAGTGATGGGGTGCCCCACGGAGTGATGGGGTGCTCCCTGGGATGATGATGGGTCCCCCACGGAGTGATGGGGTGCTCCACAGGATGATGGAGTGCTCCACGGGATGATGGGGTGCTCCATGGAGTGATGGGGTGCTCCCTGGGATGATGATGGGGTGCTCCCTGGGATGATGATGGGGTGCTCCCTGGGATGATGGGGGGCCCCACAGAGTGATGGGGTGCCCCACGGAGTGATGGGGTGCTCCCTGGGATGATGATGGGTCCCCCACAGAGTGATGGGGTGCTCCACAGGATGATGGAGTGCTCCACGGGATGATGGGGTGCTCCACGGAGTGATGGGGTGCTCTGGAGTGTCCTGGCCTCCCCAGTGCAGCACTGGGCCCACTTCCGACCCCAGTGGCGGGGCCTGTGCTGCGGACAGGTAGCAGCGCCCCTAACTCCACCCCCTTCGGTGTCCTAACCAGAACCATCTCTAGACGTCGTCTCCAAGTGTTTTCGCTCAAACCCACTGTTTTACGCTGTTTTGTGACAGCGGGGGTCAGGGTTCGCGCGCGTCAGCAGGACCGTCCTGTAGGCTGTGACCAAGCCACCGGAGCTCCCGTCCTGCCAGCGGGAGGCAGGGGCGCCTTCGGCTGCGGTCAGGACCTTGGCCGGGCTCGGCTTCCGCTCAGCGGGGCGTCTGCTCCCCCCTCGCCCCCGGCTCCTTAGAGGACGCGCTCGCTTTCTCTTTCTCTAATCAAAAAGGGAGGGGGGAGGCTTTGCCAGGTCAGCAGCGCTCGCTGCGTACCCGAGGCCTGAGATCCGCCTGAGCGGATGGAGAACCACCGGCACCTGCGCTGATGGGAGCCCAGCTCACCTTCTAGAATCCTCCCGGCTCAGGTGGGCGCCCCACACTAGTGCGCGTGTGAGCAGGAGCACATCAGCTGGCAGCTTGGGTCTCTCGAGGTGACTCTACACGCCGCCCCCCCCGCCCCCCCGGGGGTGTTTGTTTGGTTTGCTTCCACTTGGCCAGGTTGGGGCCCGCCTCACAGGCTTCCCCGCGTGGGGCCTGTGCCCCCGGCAGAGCTTCGGCC